CCGGGGCCGCGCCACGAGGCCGGGGTAGCGAGGGTAGCCGCGGGCCCCTGCGTGGCCACGCCCGAGGTCTCCGCCGCCTCCGGCCCAGCAGGCGCGGTCACGAGTCCGTATCCGCGCCCTCGCGGTCCGGATTCCGGGGCGAGACCCCGCGGACACGCGGTCACACGGATAGGGTCCGCGCAGGCCCTCCGCGAAAAAACAACCCCTAAGAATCGCGGCCCTGGAGCCTGGCCCGCGAGGCCAAGGATGCGGACACGTTTTTCGCCCACGACACAAGAGATGCAAGGGATGGCGATAAAACGAGCAGCCGCGAGAGAAGGACGACAGAGAGGAAGATGACAGCGCCGAGGACCTAGGACTTCGAGGGGAATCAGGACGGGGACTCGGCACTGTCGCCTCTAATGTTGATGCACGCTTTGTGAGGGTGTACATGTTCCTGTAGCGACGAGCCCGGCCAATTCCCCCCGGCCAGCCCACAATAATCTGGCCAACCCTCCCGGCCACCCCCTCCGACCAGTCCTGGCTAGGGCAATCCAGTCGAGGCAACTCCTGCTACTAAGCCCAGTCTAGGGGCCAGTATGGCAGGCCTCATCATCCAAAAGTATGCCCAGGACTGAGCCGAATTAGGCCAGATCAATCTGGACGTTAGCCGAATCGTGCGGGATTATGCCCGATGTGGCCGGTTTTCGACCACGGATCTGCCAGTCCCGATGTTGGATTGAACCTTCCAGGGGTTGCATCCTAACCAACAAATCGTCCGCCTTGCGCCAGACCGCAATCGCATCGCTCGGCGTCCACATCGAAATCGTAATCGAATGGCTGCCGCAGGCTTCCCGCATCCCTGGCGATTCGAGTCACCAGACTAGATCGAGCCGGACCGAATCGTGTGAGGCGCTGCAGGTTCACCTCCTTCCTCCTTCCTCCTCCGTCCTCCTCTGATCGATCGTCTTCCACTCTCCAGTGGGGAGGGGGGGGAGCGAGGTGGATTGTCCTCCTCCGATCCCAGCGTCGCCCGGGCGAGCTCCTGAGGGGGCCAGGGAGCGCGAAGCAAGGGCCCGGGGGCCTTGAGCGGAGGCCTGGAAGGAGGGGGGGCGAGGGAGGAACGATGGCTGGCGGCGCGCCAGCGGGTGTGGGGCGCGGGGGGCTGGGGGAGGGGGGGCGGCCTTGCGAAGGAGGGCTCGGAGGCTTCTTCGATGGGCTCGGAGGCCTCTTCGAGGGCCTCCCTGGGAGGCAGGAAGGCCTCTGCCACTGCAAGCGGAGACAGAGGGTGGGGGGGGGGGGGGGCAAGGGGCTGCCCGAGGAGCCATGCGCCGTGATGTGTTTCTCCTCCGCGTCCCGCCGCCGCAGCTGCTGCTGCTGCCCTTGTATGTGCTCCCTTCCCCCCTCCATTGAGCTCTCAGGGTTGAGCGTGGATGCACCGTCGACGCGCCTGGACCAGGGATCGCTAGGGCGGGCCCGTATCGAAACGAAACGGGGGGAATTGGGTGAGCGACGGGGGCTCGAAGCGGCAACTGGCCCCAATAGGATCCACGCGGAAGCGCGCAGGATCAGCGCCCGAAGCGGGACGCCCAAAAAGGAGATGGCGCCTGCTGCAGAGGCCACAAGCCCTTGCTGAAGGACCCGTCGGCAAAGGCGATGCACTGGTCCAAAGCCCAGCGTAGGCCAGGCCAGACTCGGCGCCAGTGAATTACCCGTTCCCCAGACACCTCTCTAGCTCCTGAGCTCTTCTTCCCTTCCCCTCATCATTATTATCATCTGCTCGCCGCCAATTGGGGAGGGCCTCGAATAGACCACTCATCAGGGTACTGATTCGGAGTGGCCGCACGGTTTTGGGACTCTGCTCGTTTTCCGAGGACGCTTTCGGGCGACTGGGGCCTTCAGGGTCCCCAAACGGTGCGGCGACGCACTGAGCGGTGAGGGCTGTGGGGATGCCGAGGTCCGAAGTCGCCACGCGGTCCGTCACCACACCCCCCGAGCCATGCAGCGGCATGCGATCCCGCCTAGAGGCGGGCGGGGGCAATCCTCGCCACGAGGCTCCGCGGCTCCGCCGGAGGCTCGCGCACTCGGAGCAGCGCCTCGCCAGAGGCTCCGCTGCTAGAGGGTGCCAGAGCAGCGCCTCCGCCAGACGCCCGCGCTGGGCGAGCCGCGTGCCAGCCCGGCACGGCCACGGGTCGAAGCGGGCCAGCGTAGGTGGGCGCCGACTACACGCGCTCCTGGCCTCAGGCAGGGAGGCAAATATCGCGAATCCTGGGCACAGGGTCGGCCTGGCCAAGATGGGTGTGGGTGCACAGCTGGAGCCCCGCGACGGCAGGCCAGCCGACGAGGCCGACGCGCAGGTGAGCGGGCGGTGGAGAGCGGCAGCGGCCTCGGTCGGCCAGTCGGCCAAGGCTGGCGGGCGGACGAAGGCAGCAGCCTCTGCCGGGGCGGCGCCTCCGCAGAGGTGCGCTCTCTCGGCAGGCCGCGCGCAGGTCAGCCTACGGTTAGGGAACTGTGGCTTGGCGTGTCTCCGCGGCGGCCCCGGCGACACGCTACGCCCTGCAAGCGGATCGCGTGTCGCTCCGCTCCGCGGGGCGGGAGGCTGGGAGAGGCTCGGGACGTTGACGCTGGGGGGCCGGGACGCAGACAGCGGCGGCGCCAGAGCGTGGTGGGCCAGAACCGGCGGCGCGGCACGCTGTCTGAGAGTTCCCGGCCGGGGTTGCCGCGAGGCAAGCGGGCCCTGAGGGAGACGGGTCCCGAGGGGGCGTGCAACAGGGAAGGCTTCCACGAGGAGGGATCGCAGATCGTGGCGGCCCGAGGCACATGCGCGGCCCAGGAGGGGGGGGGGGGGGGGGGCAGAAGGCGAATTGAGATAAGAAGGAAGCAATCCGGGAGGATTTCGTGGCCCAGGCCATTAGACCTGATTGGCACGGGGACGGAAAGCGCACCTACTTTCAGAGCGCACGAGATCGCTGGCTCGTCCGCTCTTACACCTCTGATTGACTCCCTTCCCCTCGCTCTTGTCCTATCTCAGGCTCGGAGAGTCGCGGAGCTTTCTTTGAGCGCGTTTCTTGTTTTGAAGGGGGCGGTCGGGTCGCGTTGCGTTTTCCGCGTTTGGGCTGCCAGCTTTCCAGAACCCCGCGTTTTCCTTGCGTGGACCGCTCGTTGTCCACGCGTTGCCGCCCGTCCCTGTGCCCTGGCGTCAAGAACTTATTACGTCGCAGCTCTCGGTTGGGAGCTTTGGTCTCATCAGCTCGATTACGTCACCGCTCGCTCTTGGGAGCCGCGGTGCTAAGAGCCTTTGGGAGTATTTTGGGCCTCTTGGGGGGCTCTTGGGGAGCCTCTTGGGTGCCTCTTGGGGACCTTTTGGGGCTTCTCGGGGGCCTCTGGGGGCCTCCTGGGAGCTTCTGGGCTGCGGGGGTGAAGGGACTAGGCTGCCTTTGGCCGTCTTTGGGCTCTCTTGGGGGCCTCTCGGGGCCTTCTTGGGGCCGTCCTGGGGCCGTCTTGGACCGTCTTGGCGCCTCTTGGGCCGTCTTGGCGCCCTCTTGGGCCGTTTTGGGGCCCTCTTGGGGGCCTCTTGGGCCTTCTTGGGGCGCTCTTGGGGGCCTCTTGGACAGTCTTGGGCGCCTCTTGGCCCGTCTTGGCGCCCTCTTGGGGTATTTTGGGGGCCTCTTGGAAACATCTTGGACCGTCTTGGGGCGGTCTTGGGGGCCTATTGGGCCGTCTTCAACGCCATGAAAGGCGAGAAGCCGTATATGCTAGAAATGCACGTTTTCCTTCAGGAAATCAATGATTTGGGGCTCTTTGGGCCCTCTTGGAACGCCTCGTGGGCGCCTCCTGGGGCGTCGTGGAAGCCTCTTGGGACGTCTTGGGGCCGCCTTGGGCGGTCTTGGGCTCTCTTGGAGCGCTCTTGGGCCGTCTTGGGCGCTTCTGGGGCCGTCTTTGGCCGTCTTGGGCGCCGTCTTGGCCGCTTCCTGGGCTGTCTTAAGTGCCTAAGACGGCCCAAGAAGCGCCCAAGAAGCGTTCTCCGATAATGTCTCGAGCGAAACGCTGTTTTGAAGCCCCGAAGGCCGTCCTACCTGCTTGGCACGGGGCTGGCTCGTCCGCTCTTACACCTCTTATTGACTCCCTTCCCCTCGCTCTTGTCCTATCTCAGGCTCGGAGAGTCGCGGAGCTTTCTTTGAGCGCGTTTCTTGTTTTGGAGGGGGCGGTCGGGTCGCGTTGCGTTTTCCGCGTTTGGGCTGCGAGCTTTCAAGAACCCCGCGTTTTCCTTGCGTGGACCGCTCGTTGTCCACGCGTTGCCGCCCGTCCCTGTGCCCTGGCGTCAAGAACTTATTACGCCGCAGCTCTCGGTTGGGAGCTTCGGTCTCATCAGCTCGATTACGTCACCGCTCGCTCTTGGGAGCCGCGGTGCTAAGAACCGTTGGGAGTATTTTGGGCCTCTTGGGGGGCTCTTGGGGAGCCTCTTGGGTGCCTCTTGGGGACCTTTTGGGGCTTTTCGGGGGCCTCTGGGGGCCTCCTGGGAGCTTCTGGACTGCGGGGGTGAAGGGACTAGGCTGCCTTTGGCCGTCTTTGGGCTCTCTTGGGGGCCTCTCGGGGCCTTCTTGGGGCCGTCCTGGCGCCTCTTGGGCCGTCTTGGCGCCTCTTGGGCCGTCTTGGCGCCCTCTTGGGCCGTTTTGGTGCCTTCTTGGGGGCCTCGTGGGCCTTCTTGGGGCGCTCTAGGGGACCTCTTGGACAGTCTTGGACGCTTCTTGGCCCGTCTTGGCGCCCTCTTGGGCTATTTTGGGAAGGCCTCTTGGGAACATCTTGGGCCGTCTTGGAGCGGTCTTGGGGGCCTATTGGGCCGTCTTCAACGCCATGAAAGGCGAGAAGCCGTATATGCTAACAATGCACGCTTTCCTTCAAAAAATTAATGAGTTTGGTCTCGTGGGGCCCTCTTGGGACGCCTCGTGGGCGCCTCCTGGGGCGTCGTGGAGGCCTATTGGGACGTCTTGGGGCCGCCTTGGGCGGTCTTGGGCTCTCTTGGAGCGCTCGTGGGCCGTCTTGGGCGCTTCTTGGGCAGTCTTGGGCCGTCTTGGGCGCCGTCTTGGGCGCTTCTTGGGCTGTCTTAGGCGCCTAAGACGGCCCAAGAAGCGCACAAGAAGCGTGTTCCGATGATGTCTCGAGCGAAACGCTGTTTTTAAGCACCGAAGGCTGTCCTACTCGATAAAAAACCGAGGCGTGAGGGCAATTATGGAGCGCTCTTGAGCCGTCTTGGGCCCTTGGGCGCTTCTGGGGCAGTCTTGGGCCGTCTTGGGCGCCGTCTTGGCCGTTTCTTGGGCTGTCTTAGGCGCCTAAGACGGCCCAAGAAGCGCCCAAGAAGCGTTCTCCGATGATGTCTCGAGCGAAACGCTGTGTTGAAGCTCCGAAGGCCGTCCTACTCGATAAAAAACGAGGCGGGAAGGCAATTCGACCGTCTTGGCACTTACTTTCAGAGCGCACGGTATCGCTGGCTCGTCCGCTCTTACACCTCTTATTGACTCCCTTCCCCTCGCTCTTGTCCTATCTCAGCCTCGGAGAGTCGCGGAGCTTTCTTTGAGCGCGTTTCTTGTTTTGGAGGGGGCGGTCGGGTCGCGTTGCGTTTTCCGCGTTTGGGCTGCCAGCTTTCCAGAACCCCGCGTTGTCCTTGCGTGGACCGCTCGTTGTCCACGCGTTGCCGCCCGTCCCTGTGCCCTGGCGTCAAGAACTTATTACGCCGCAGCTCTCTGTTGGGAGCTTTGGTCTTATCAGCTCGATTACGTCACCGCTCGCTCTTGGGAGCCGCGGTGCTAAGAGCCTTTGGGAGTATTTTGGGCCTCTTGGGGGGCTCTTGGGGAGCCTCTTGGGTGCCTCTTGGGGACCTTTTGGGGCTTTTCGGGGGCCTCTGGGGGCCTCCTGGGAGCTTCTGGGCTGCGGGGGTGAAGGGACTAGGCTGCCTTTGGCCGTCTTTGGGCTCTCTTGGGGGCCTCTCGGGGCCTTCTTGGGGCCGTCCTGGGCCGTCTTGGGCCGTCTTGGCGCCTCTTGGGCCGTCTTGGCGCCCTCTTGGGCCGTTTTGGGGCCTTCTTGGGGGCCTCTTGGGCCTTCTTGGGGCGCTCTTGGGGGCCTCTTGGACAGTCTTGGGCGCCTCTTGGCCCGTCTTGGCGCCCTCTTGGGCTATTTTGGGGGCCTCTTGGGAACATCTTAGGCCGTCTTTGGGCGGTCTTGGGGGCCTCTTGGACCGTCTTCAACGCCATGAAAGGCGAAAAGCCGTACATGCTAACAATGCACGCTTTCCCTCAGAAAATCAATAATTTTGGTCTCTTGGGGCCCTCTTGGGACGCCTCGTGGGCGCCTCCTGGGGCGTCGTGGAGGCCTATTGGGACGTCTTGGGGCCGCCTTGGGCGGTCTTGGGCTCTCTCGGAGCGCTCTTGGGCCGTCTTGGGCGCTTCTGGGGCCGTCTTGGGCCGTCTTGGGCGCCGTCTTGGGCGCTTCTTGGGCTGTCTTAGGCGCCTAAGACGGCCCAAGAAGCGCCCAAGAAGCGTTCTCCGATGATGCCTCCAGCGAAACGCTGTTTTTAAGCCCCGAAGGCCGTCCTACTCGATAAAAAACGAGGCGGGAGGGCAATTAGATCTCGGGCGTCGCGATACCAACCCCCTCGAACTCCCCCAAGTCCAATTTCTTCCGACTAACGGACCGCACGCTAACGCGCGCTTTCCGTCATCCGGGCCCGGCGATGCCAACCCCCTCGAACTCCCCCAAGTCCAATTTCTTCCGACTAACGGACCGCACGCTAACGCGCGCTTTCCGTCATCCGGGTCTCGCGATGCCACCCCCCTCGAACTCCCCCAAATCCAACTTCTTCCGACTAACGGACCGCACGCTAACGCGCGCTTTCCGTCATCCACCCACCCCAGTCATCACTCCCCTCATGGCCGCCCCCGAGTCCTGGATTCTGGGGCCTTCCCCTGGGACCAGCTCTTCATCCCGAGCCGATTTTGAGTTGACGGCCCTGGGAGCCAGAAAACGGTGAAAAACCAGATGACCCGTTTCCCTGATCGCTCGCCCTCATGGCGGACGACGACCAGCATTGAGGGGATACGTTCGAGGGAGTCCGGCTCAGAGGGGAGGGAGGAACATCGACCTGGAATCGAAAATACATCGCCAATGGATCGGCGATAGGCCCCGATAGCAAAGCCGAACGTTCCTGAGCGGGGTGGGCCATCGGCTGGGCTGTCGGGCCCCTCCTCGGCGATCCATGGGCGATTGGAGCTCGATGCATCCTCCCCCCAGAGCCTGCCTCCTCCTCACCTTTGGGGTCATACCTCGGGTCTCTGGTGGCCGTTCGGGACGATCCGGGTATCCCCGAAACGCCATCTGCGAGGCGCAGCTGCTGGAAGGCATCCCGAGGCTGGAAAGCCGCCGAGAATCGACGAAAGCGTCAGAAAACCTCGAAATCGAACATCGAACCCCCTCGAGGCTCGATGCATTCCTTCCCTGGAGTTTCCCCTGAAGCGTCGCCGCCGGGCGTAAGCAAGCGGGCAGACCAGCCGGCGGGCGAAGGCGAGCGGCGAGCGGGCGGCGGCATCGGTCCCCAGACCCCCGACGTCATGCTTTTTGATAACGGCGACCCCCAAAACTCTTGACCATGAACCCGGTTTCCTACTATTCGCCAGAACGCTCGTGACCTGCACCGCTCCCCCCCTCCGCCCCCCCACCGCTGGTGACGTCACGGCTCGCACCTGCGCCGTCTGGGAATGAGCCATTCCTAGGCGCCAGCGCGAATCGCGACGTGGCGGGCCCCCTCCCAGCTCCTTCCCCCCCCCCCCCGGTCACGCCCGTTATCGCCAGGGGATGCGAAAATGCCCTCCGTTCCCCGGGACCGCCTCTGCACCCCGAGCCGTTCTGTGGACGGCCACGTGTCCTGGCAAGGGCTCCCCGAGGCGGAAGACAGCGAGACACCCTCTAACAGAGGATATGCCGACCCCTATCCCCGAATTCGTGGGGTTTCGAATGGACCAAAAGTTTGGGGCCCAGCCCAGGGACATACGAAGGGGGGCGTGCATCCTGGACAGGCGTGCGTCCGATTAGCCCCTCTGGAGGTGTGTCTCCGAGTTCCCCTCTTCTTCTGAGCGGCTCCATTCGTCGCCGAACTTCGACGACGAATGAAGCCGGGGGCCCCCCGGGGCGAGGCATCGCCTGCGACCCTCCGTCCCGATGTCTGCTCGAGGCGCCAGCTGCCTGGGCGCAGGCGGCGGCCTCGGTCGGCCGGGCAGGCGGCGGCCCCAGCATCCCGGCGTCGTTCTCTGTCCACAGCGTCGGCCCCCAGAGGCCTCGACCCCTTCCCTGGGACAGTTGAGGAGGGGGATGATGATGATGATGATGATGATGATGATGATGATGATGATGATGATGATGATGATGATGATGCTGATGATGCTGAGTATGATGAGTATGATGATGAGGATGATGATGATGATTATTATGATGATGATGGTGATGGTAATGATGATGATGATGATGCTGATGATGATGATGATGATGATGCTGATGCTGATGCTGATGATGATGCTGATGATGCTGATGATGCTGATGATGAGGAGGATGCTGATGCTGATGCTGATGATGATGAGGATGAGGATGAGGATGATGCTGATGATGATGACGATCATGATGATGATGATGATGATGATGAGGATGAGGATGATGATAATGACGATGACGATGACGATGAGGATGAGGATGAGGATGATGCGGATGATAGATGATGATGAGGATGATGAAAATGATGATGATGATGATGATGATGATGATGATGATGATGATGATGATGATGATGATGATGATGATGATGATGATGATGCTGATGCTGATGCTACTGATGGGAAGGAGGAGGTTATTGTAGGAAGAGGAGGAGAAGAGGGAGGAGGAGTTGCCCGCGGGTCTCTGCCGGGACATGGCAGCGGGGGATCCCAATTCCAAGCTGATTCCTCTGATTTTGCGACGCGGTGACTGTGTAACCACTATGTGAACTCTAAAGTCTAAACTGATGGGTATCCCCATGCTTTGGAGCAGGGCGCCACCCCGAATGGCACCGAGGCCTCGCCCGACACGGCTTCCCGCTCGCCAAAGCTGTTATACAGTCATGTGCTTGCCGCTGCAGTGCGGACTTTTCCTCCTGAATCGTTTTTTGGATGGTCCAGAGGCCCGGTAAGGCCCCCGGAGGCCGATCACAGCGAGAACATCCCGTTCGTGACGTTCTGCATGACTCCAGGGGGCCTGGGGCAGGCGGCGAACTAGCGGCGTCAGAAGTGGGCAGCGTCGGCGGTCGGCGGCGGGCCCGCGGCGAGCGGTGGCAGGCACAGCGCGAGCCCCCCGGCGCGGCCTGCGGCGGGCACGCCCAGCGCAGCGCGCACGTGGGCGTCGGCCTGCGAGCCCCGCGCGCCCAGCCGCATGGCCCAGGCCGAGAGGGCGGGGTCGGGCGCCGCTGCGGGGAACCGGAGCCGCGGCAGGGCAGGAGCCCGATGGTTCATCCGGTCGCTCGTCGCCCCCCCCTGGGCCCCCTGCCCCTGCCTTCTCATGGTAGTCATCAGGAGAGCACCAGGATGGCCCCGACAGCCCCCCTCCTCACCCCGCCTCGCCTGGCCCTTGCCTTCCCTCGTGCACGATCAAGGGCATGTATGCCACTTGGCATTCGCGACAACGCCCTTGACCGGCCCCCACCCCTCCACCCCCCTTGGTCACGTCACGATTCGCGCCACTGCCGTCTGGGAATAAGCGTTTCCTGAACATTCCCACACGGCGCCGTCGCGAGTCGTGGCGTGACAAGGTCCCTCCCCGATCACACCCGTGATCGCCAAGCGATCAAAAAACAGTCTCCACATGTTTGGACTGCCTCCAGGCCCCGCTCCAACGCGGTACGATGCATAGCAGTTCGGGTCCAAAGGGTCGAGAAACTATGCACCGTGCCATTCCTGGACCGAGGATCACGTCGCCTCTGGAGACGCCAAAGCGGTACGGTGCACAAGTCGTCCGCGGAGGGGCACAATCTTCCCGCGACGAGTCGGACACAAATCGGCGTAGAATTGCGCTGGATCGGGCTGCACCGGCGCGGGAAAAATACCGAATTGTGTGGTCTGGGCCGGGATGCGCAGCAGCGCCGTGCAGGCACCGCGTTCGCATCGGATCTTCGGAATACGCATCGGATCGAATCGGATCGAATCGGATCGAATCGACCGGCTTCGCTTAAGATCGATCGGATCGGCATGGGCCTTGCCGTGCAGGATGGGCTCTGCCGCTTCTCGTGGCCCCCTCGTCTGGTTTCAGGTTTGGAGCCTCTCCGTGCGGCCAGGGCGGCCGGTGTCTTGACGAGGGAGCGTCGGACGAGGACTCCCGGGCACCCTGGCCGAAGCTGACTGTGGATCTACAACATACTGTAACAGGAAACTGTGAGGACCTGGCCCATCATGACAAAATTTCATCATCCAACACCCTCGCAATGACAAAGAAAAATGGCTTCGGAACTTTGGACTGGGGGCAAGTCGTTTTTAATGTTTGCTGCGGCTCATGGGCTGGAGTCGTGCATGCCACTGAAACTCGGACAGGGACTGGATATATGGGTCGGTTGCGAGCGAGATGCTTGAGAACGATATTCAATTGCCAACTGGCGTGGTTACCTCATGCGAGCAATGCCGAAGTACGTGAGAGTGTATGCATTTTGCCATTGACCTCGACCCGATTGGAAATAGCATCAAAGCTGTATTGCAAACTTGACCGGAGCAGCATCAAAAGCTTACCCAGCTAAATGGCTTTCGAGATGTGGGCAATTAATAACAGATTCTGTCTCGAGGCTGGATCCCTTCGCGATCGAGATTACGCCCTCGGCTGCAGTCGACGCCGTATCTACACTCTGAGGCGGCCCCTGCAACGGCATGCAGCGACCCCAACACTTTACAGGGCCTTCTCCCGAGCTGCAGAAGGCTCCTCAGGAGGGCCAAGGGCTTCCGAGAAGCCCCGCCGCTTCATGAGACTGCCCCCAGACTGTCCCCACTCTCTTCCCCCCTCGACGCGTCGAGAGAGAAAGAGGAGAGATGAAGAGAGACGATAGAAAAACAAGCTACATCAACATATCATTTCGGAGGTCCGCGCGGATTTCTCCAATCGGCGCTGGACCTCCCTCCCCAGCGCGCGGAACGCAACAGGGGCGGCGCCAGGGAGGCCGATCCAAGAGATAAGCAAGGATCGTCGAAGGTTTATCTTTATTTTGTTGGTTATGATTCTTCTTCTTCGGAGAGAGAAAGAGAGAGCAAGAGAGAGCAAGAGAGAGCAAGAGAGAGCGAGAGAGAGACAGGGGAGCAATAATAAAACAGAAAAAGAGAGAGAGAGAGAGGGAGAGAGAGAACGAGAGAGAGAGAGAGAGAGAGAACGAGAGAGAGAGAGAGAGGGCGAGAGAGAGGGGGGGGAACAACAAGAGAGAGAGAGAGATAGAGAGAGAGAGAGAGCAACACCTCATTTTTTGAGCCGCACGGCTGGGTCGGCTGGCGCCGCTGCCCGAGAGCTGGGCGGGAAGACGTGGCGGGAAAATCGGGGCCCTCCATTGGCACACCAAAGGGGGGGGGCCCGAATGGCGGAGAGCGCACGGCCAGACCACCGGAGGTGGACTGATTCTCTACAGTCTACACGTCGGCAACGTTTGCTTCGCGTGTCGCCGCGGCGACCCCGGCGACACGCCGTGCCCTGCGAGCGGATAGCGTGGCGCTCCGCTCCGCGGGGCGGGAGGCCGGGACGAGCTCGGAGCGGGAACGCCTCGGGACGGCGACGCGGATACCGTGCCGCTCCAAGGCGTGGTGGGCCAGGACCGTAGGCGAGACACTCAAGGTCAAAGCTCCTAACCAGGGTAACTCTGGGCTCCTGAGCCGAGAGGGGGAGGAGCTGAGAGGAGGAGGAGGAGGAGGAGGAGGAGGAGGAGGAGGAGGAGGAGGAGGAGTAGGAGGAGGAGGAGGAGGAGGAGGAGGAGGGGGCTATGGTTTTCGGGCCGCTCCCCAGATGATATGGGTCCAGGAGGCTCTTCGTGGCCGAGGATCGCCGTGGCCAGACGAGCCCTCTTATTTACGACGCCCGTAGGAGGAAGAGGAGAACATGCACCTGCACCAGCGTAATCTTTCCGAGGTCCGCGCGGATCTCTCGGATCAGCGCTGGACCCCGCGCCGTCTGGCGCGCGGAGCGCGCCAGGAGCGGCGCAGGAGGCAAACTCCCTCTTCAGATGCCCCTACAACGATTCATTTCCACTGAGGGAACTGCCTCGTTGGAAGACAGCCGTTTGAAGACCCTGAAGCATGCCAAAACATTACTCTCAGGACTCTAACGCCACGGATCAACCTGACTGTTGGGTCTGCCGATCCTAAATCATGCCGGATCGCCATTCCTTCTTCAACACCGCGAATCAACGTAAATGTTGCACCCTGATAATCCAACGTCTTTCCAAAACACCACTTCTGGCACGCTGACGATGGGAAACCGTGAAACGTTTTTTTATTTTGACACGGAGTGTACGCGGCGCTAGGGCGATAACCACATTTTGAAAACGAACCGCCTTCAACCCGTGAGACCATTGCAAATGTTTAACAACGAATGTGCGCGGGGGCGAAGGCGAGAGCCAAAATTTGAAAAACACCTGCGTTCAATCCGTGAAACTCTTGCAAATGTTTGAAAACGAATGTGCGCGGCGCTCACAATGTGTGAAACTGTTGCCAATTGTAGGGTTCAGGGTCACAAATGGAGGCGAACCGCCCTGCCCCGTCCTTTCGACCGGCCTCGGGGTGCGACAGGGAGACATAGTATGAGGAAAAGGAATGGAGGAGGAGGAGGAGGAGGAAGAGGAAGAGGAGCAGGAGGAGGCGGAGGAGGAGGAGGAGGAGGGGGAGAGGGAGGAGAGAGGAGGGCGGAGGAGAAGGGCGAAGAGAGGAGGGAATGAGGGAGGAGGAACAGAAAGGGGGGCGCATGAGGAGGAGGGAGGAGGGAGGAGGGAGAAGGGAGGAGGGAGGATGAGGCGAGAAGCATCCGAGACCCTTGGTTCGCCGAGCTCCCTCGCCTCTGGAGCCCCCCGCAAGCGGGGAGAATGCCTCGGAGAGCCCGCCGAAAAACACACAGTGCAGGGCGGGCGCCGCAGGCTACCCGTCGCAGGCGGGGTGGGGCCTTAGGCGAGCACACCCGCGCACAGAAAAGGGTGGGGAGGGCGACGGATAAGAACTGTGAGGGGGAGGGAAGACGAACCGGGGGCAGGAGGGGGGAGGGGGGATGGAAGACGAACCGGGGGCAGGAGGGGGGAAGGGGGATGAGGAGGATGGGAAGGGGAGGAAGAGGGGCAGGAGGGGGAGAAAGGAAAGAAGGGTGGAGGAGAGGGAAATGCAAGGACCTTGAGGGAATGCGCTGGCAAGCACAATCGTGGGGGGGGGAGAGAAAAGAAAAACGCCGCTCCGACCCCAGCGCGCACACTGATCCGACGACGGTATAAACGCCCCGTGGCCCCATCCCCCCCCTGCCAGACGGCCTTGGCGGGGCAGGGGCCCCGCCAAGGCCTGGGAAGGCTCATCGGGGGGCCGCCCCCGAGACGCAGAGCGCGGAGGCGGGCACGGCGGAAGACCCCGCCCGAGACTCGCCGTGCCACGACCTCTGCGGAACGGCGGGTCAGCACGCGGGCCTCTGGCGACCTGGAGGCCGCTCTGGGGAAGGGGGCCCCCTCTGCGGATTCCGCCCGAACTCTCCAGGCCCTGCCTTGTGGGGGCCTCACCGGAGGGCGCCCACCGGCGCCAATCAGAAGGGGCGGTGCGGCCACACCTCTGACAAACATACAATCTGTGCAGGTTCCCGAGAGCCATCGGCAAGGCTGCAAGACCGCACCCCCGACCATGATCAGCCCCTGGACCGCACAGGCAGTATCAGACTGGAAAGGACCAGTCCCGACCCTAGTGATGCAAGGGGCCCTGCAAGCCAGTAAATGGCTAGCCTGGACCACGAGGAACTCATAGTGCGTGCGCCGAGTACCATGGCCGTGCGTTGAGAAACCACACCAGCCCTTTAGGGCGTAAGAAATCCCACCAGCCCTTTGGGCGTGAGTGGTTTAGCGAGCTCTCTCTGTCCTCAACCCCCCTTCTTCCCCTTCGGGGAGGGGTTTACCCCTCCCCCTCCCCCCTCCCCCTGGGTCTGGAGAGGTCCCGCCGGTCGTCAGGGGGGTCAATTTCGACTCCTGGGAGGGCTAAAAAACGACGACCCTCACGAGGATTCTGGCCCCGACGGGGGGGCGGAGATAAGTCCCTCTCCTCTTCTGTGAAGCCAACAACATTGATTTTACCAGGGTTTTGGCCCCATTTTGGACTTCTGAGGGGGCAGCGCTCATCGTCCTTCATAGCAAAATCATTGATTTTACAAAGGTTTTGGCCTCATTTTGTCCTTCTCAGGGGGCAGCTCTTCTTTGCGCTTCTGAGGAGG